TTTGTGCACTTGGAGCCCTGACATGAGCCACGTCTTCATTTACCATAAGAATTCCTCTGGTTACAAAATTGCAGTCACCCTTGCTGAAAAAAAAGAACTCAAAAATGTTGCTTTGAGTGGCTCAGCTGATATCATTAAAGAACCAGACCACCTCTGAAATCCTCTCAGAAAGAGAATTATCCTAAAAAGGCCACTGAACATAGGTATAAGTTTATAAACATTAGTAACACCAGCTGGGACAAAGACTGGAGAAAATACTTATTTCCCATTAGTTATGATCTGTATTGCATCAGAGAATGCAGGTTTTAATCTTCAAGAGACTTTGTACCAGGCAATTGTTGTGATGAATAAAATACAGTAATTCTTGGAAACATTTTGTCACAAATTTTATAAGAAGTGTGGTTTTTGACATGGCTCGCTGTCTGACAGATAGCAACTGCATTAGATATATTTTATGACTTTTAAATAACTTCATGAATTTATACACCTTATTTGATTGTATGAGTTTTTATTTTTAATTTTTAGTCAGTTTTTCAGCAAAGCATAAAGGTAGAGCCATCGCTGTGGAAGATGTAATGCACTAAATTAGATCTCTTAGGCCTTATATGGGAAAAAGAAAGAAGATAATGTGATTAATTCAGACAGATTGTTATGAAGTTGGCAAAATAAAGAATCTTACGGTATTCCTGAACTAATGTTAGAAGCCTGGGAGAACACCAGAAACTACTACAGATTTTCATGAATAAACATTATAATTGGATTGACAGAGACAATGTAGAATGAGCCTCACAACTGAAATGCTCATCAGTGACACCCTGTACTCTCAATCTAGGGATGGCAAAACTACTGTGGAAATGGCAGCCTAGTCTATTATATGCTTGGAGCCATACAGTAAAGGGTCATCCTGGAATACTTATCCAGGGAATATGATGTGACTTCACATGAGACATATTGATTCATAGGTTCATTCTTCTTCAGCTTTTGTTGTTTTCCCACTTTTTAGCAGCTCAGAATCATATACTTTAACCAATATCATTTTAGGAGCCAGTGCATCAGGCTGAAATTCACAGGCTTCAGAAAGATCATGCTCAGAATTACTTTTCTATAATTGTTCATGGATTTTGTGTTAAAACCCCTATGAAAAAATGCAGAAGAGAGTCAGAAGACACTGTGATCTTTTTTAAACTTGAATTTTGGCTCTCCTTTTTTGTGCACTTCCCTCAGAAAATGAGGGTTATGAAATGGTTCTTCTTCAAGTTCTCTTCCTGGCAGCTTGGAACCCAGTAGCATCAGTGACCACAAAAACACTGAGGTTTCATAGCTGGTATATGTCCTCAGTGAAAAAAAATGACACCTAGAGAGAGAAAAGAGCTGCTACTAATGTTCATTAGAAGAAAGACATAAAGAATGGAAACATTTAACATCCTATTAAGTAGAAGTGCTTTGCTGATCTACATACACTGGCCAGCCAGCACATGTGTAACTGAGCTACTCATACCATACAGACAGCAAGTAAAATTAAGATAGATTTAGGATATGTGGGGTGCTGGGGTTTTTGGGTTATATTTGCAAATCATGGTGGACATTGGAGATATTGGTAGGGACAGAGCCAGCAAAGGTCTTGGAGAAGACTAGAGTTCTGAAATGAGTGTGCTACATGGACCTGGGGCAACATGGGATTATTGCAAGAATATATCACTAGATCATAAATCCACTGAAAACCGCATTTTAGTATTAATCTCCAGTTTTTAAGGCAGCTTATTTTTCTTCTTATCATTTATAACTAGAGTTTAAAAGTAATTTTTTAACTTAAAATTACCAAGAATGTTAAGTTTTATAATTCTAAGTCTTGTAGAAAGACATTACAGGAGCCTCAATAATTTTATTTTGAAATCTCATACCTTAACTAAAATAACAAGAAACTGTACCTTTAATCAGATAACTTTTCTACATTGTGTATATTGGCCTTTGTATTTAATATATATATGTAGTTATAAAACAGTTTGCCTATAAATATGTTTTTATGATTGAACTATGGAATGCATCCACAGATATTTAACGTTTATAATTAGACTCTGTTTTATATATCAATGGTGTTCCATACAAGTTTCTATAGTAAAATATTTTAGAAATACCAACATTCCCAAAAAGCTCCATAAAAGATCCTAAACTCCATAAAAGCTTCCAAATTCTTGCTACGTAAAAGCTTCCAAATTTTTACTAAATATGTATATATATATACACCATTACATAAAAAAGCTACTGATGTTTGCCTTTAAAGCAATAGTTTCATGCATGGATGATGATTACTTCCCCAAATGTCTCCATAATTACTTTAAAAGAGGTAAATAGTTGTCCTTACATTTTCTTAGCATTTCAGAACCTGGAAAATCTATTGTGAAATCAATGCCCATCAATTCAAGTAAGAAAAACAATGAATCAATCTCTTCTCCCAGTTTCTACGTTAAATGCAGTTTCGTATAGAAGAATCTTTAGTACTTCATCAAGCATTTTGAATATATTTGCATGCAGAATAACCAGAAAAGACCAAATTACAACTTGGAACACTTTTTTATAGAATTATATCCTCTGCCTTTTCTATGCAAACAAAAAGAATTCTGAAAGGAGTACGTGACTGTAGTACTGCTGTTGCTATGGATGTTCTGTATGTCCTCCTTAACTTCTTTGTCCAGTTAAGACAGACTATTAATATACAAGAACATACCAATTCCTGAGTCAGAATCATAAAACTGGTCTACAAATAATCTTAGATTATTATTATAAGTGTGAGGTTGTGGGCTTTTTGTTTTTATTTGTTTTTCATTACTATATCACTTCCTAAAGCTTTCTCTTTGACTGCAAACCTAGGAAACTTTGTGTGTGTGTGTATGTTGTTTATTTTAACAGAAAATCAAGATAATGTAAGCCCTAGACCTCTGACAAAAGTACCGTAGACACATATGAGACTAATGAGAAAGGATAAACCTTTATTTGGCCGTATAGTATTTGGATTGGAAGTATCAGACAATCAAAAAAAACCCCAAACAACAAAACTGTTGTAAAGTATCAAGTGGAGCACACCCTGCAAATTTTCTTGCCCTTTCAATTCCTTTAAGCTATGAGATCTAGTGCTCTGGAGACCTTTAAAGGTGGCTGGCAGCACCAAGTCTCTGCTAGTCCATGGATACTGGCCTCTGATTTCACAGGTGAAAATGGGGTGAAAAGCTTCTGCAAATCTATCTTTAGACACTTCAGTTATCTATCTGATTGCACAGTATTTCCACACACCATAGGGGATCCTAGAGGATAGAAGACAGGTTAGCAGGGTTGGATGTATGTTCCTGCAGGAGGGCTCTGCCTGTTTGGTGCTGCTGTCTGCAGGCAACAAACATCTACACGGGCTGGATGGAGGCAACAGGTACCCTTATAACTCTTCAAGTAGTTTCATGAAGCTGGGTATTCCAGGGCCTTACCATCTGTAACATCAAAGGCTGCACATGAATGGAGGACTTGGAAACACTCCCAAGGTTGGTAAAGAAAGAAGACGTAAAACCAGATAGCTGAGCATATTGAATTTATTTTAACACGCATCATCCAGTTTAGGCATAAGCCAAGAAAGTCCCTGTTTTCCACATATGAGATATTTATACAGGGTGTCCTCAAGGTGGATTCTCTACTGTCTAATAATGTATGCACTTACATGACAACTTTTCCTTTAACCAGTACACTGATAAGATTTCCTTATTTTACTTGGCCATTTTCCAAGCCTTGTAGGAACATAATTATTTTTAGAGCTACAGTCCTAAGTTAATTTTGTTGGAATTAGCCAAAGGGCTCGAAAGCATTAATGGAAAACTGAGAGATAAACATGCATGCGTGCATGCATACAGCAGTCACACACATACATTTGCGCCCACACAGGCAATTTTGTTATCTTATAAAAACAAATTTGAAACTACAATTTGAAACACACCCTTCAGCAGTAATCTGCATGTTATACAACAGCAAGTACATAAAGAAAGGCTGGCACTCTATTTGGTTTGGAAAATTTCCCTATTGCTCATGAAAAACAAAATTGAACTATAGCATTAAGCTTATATAGAAAAAAAAAAGATAATTTTTATAGTCCCAGCAAGATACTCTGAGTATATGCAAGTCCCAGCATAAGGAAAGATTCCCTATTTGTCAAGTAACATGGTGGTCTGTAATAAGTACTAATATAATACAGCATGTCAGAGATCAAAGCCTCAGTACTAAAAGATACAGAATAACTCATGAAATCATAATTATTGTTTTGATTTAATCTAGGCAGTTTGCTTAAAGCATTTTTTAAAGACATGCAAGCATTTCAAAGTAAACAATTTTCTAAAAGCAAAACGGGAAATAATCTGGTTCCTTATCCTTCCTCTTTTTACTTCGTGGCACACTTATTTTTGATATTATATAAAAAGCACACATCCGACCTACTAATTCCCTCATCACAGTTTTCCACAGCACTCCTGTCAGCTGCACCCTACTGAAGTGGAAATAGATTTCTTTGCCATAGGTCTCCTGTTTTGTGCATAGCATCATATAAGCTATAACATGATTAATATGTGTAGTTCTTTAAGATGCAAAACTTCAAATTACAGTTTTGCAGAATCAGGTCATGATTATACAATCTGTTTAATTTGATTAAATCCTGCAGATTACATGCAAAAATGGGTGCATGTGCTGCTTGACGTGCCTGACTATGGCTGCTCGAAAGCCTCTGTGCTTGTACCAGCACTAAGAAAGATGATGGGAGTGAGCAGCTGGACACAGGAGGAGACAGTCAGTTTGTGTCAGGTTAATTGTGAGTGTGTAGCCATTGCTGCAGCCTCTTATTTGCAAGTTACCAGTGTAGATGTAGTTTTACTTATTTCTGTGAAGCATTTCATACAGTTAGGATACTTAAAAAAAGTGAATTTTCCTTGTTATTTTTGCCTTTTTTAGCTAAACAACTTAAAATATTTATTATGAAAAAAATACATTTTATTAGTTCAACCATAGGATTTCAATATAAAAAAACTCAAATTAATGCTAATGCCTGTATAACTCAAAACTGACTTAAGGACAATTTATGGTCTGCATAACAAGCTCTGTTTTCCCTTTGTCTTCTTGAAGAGAAAGGTCTACCTCCAATACTAGTGGAGTCAGTGAAGATCTAAAACCTACATTTTCCTTAATAATCTAGGAATACATAAAAACTGGAACCAAAAATAAATTTGGGTTGTGTTTCTGTACATTAAGCGTAGTCTCACACATTAAAATTGAGACTATTGAAAAGAGACACAAGGGACCATGTGGCCTGCTCTCTGCCTAAAATCCTTAGAATTACAATCAGTAATCATAGTTATAGGCATATGCACCTGAACCAACAAAATCTTATCTTAAAAACAGCTCAACTCATAAAAATTAAATGTCGTTCCTAATTGGAAAACAAATCACAAAATGCCACTCACACTATTTCATTCTGTATGTTTAAAAAGACTTTCTGCATCCCTTTTGCAATCTTCTAATCAGCAGCTGTGTACTTTACATACATGATGAGAGTGCTAACTCCAAAAAAAACCCAGGAAGTGTTCTGTGGATAGCTTCAGTGCATAACTCCAGTTCATTCTAGATTCATTCCACTTCATTGTAATTCATTCCACAAATGAACTTTCTGTAGATATAATGTAAAGGTTTAAGAAAGAGTTTACAAAGGCTTTGACAACTTCTGTGTAACTAGTTCAGTCTTAGCTATGTGCATCCCAATGAATTAATGAAATTCTACTCTCATCTATCACCTAAGGTAAGAAAGGTCTTTTTCCTTATCATCCCAGAAATAAATGTCCTTGTGGAACAAAGCTCTGTCTCTTTATAGTTATTTTTGGGTACAGATTGCCAAAGTGATAAAGTGATTTCTGAGTTCTGGAAATCACCAGATTTTGGAGAAGACTGATGATGTCCTTTGAAATATTAATCTGCTTGTGGAGCATGGTTCACAATAGAGCTACCCAATCCTAATTAGCAGACAGGGGGCAGAAGATATCTAAATGTGCTTTGGTCACAATCCTACAGACACTTTAACATGTTTGTGTTAGTTCTGTGCATTGAGTGATTATAAAAGTCATTGCAGTAGTGAAGTTAAGAGATGCAAAAGTTTTTGAGGGCTTAGAGCATTAGTATCAAAAATAGAGGGGTTTGAATCAAGGGGTATCTGTATCAGAAAACAAATGCATCTTCTCTACTTCTCTGGTTTTCTAAGGCTTTAGGATTCACATAACTAAGCACTTCTGTTCCAAGAGGAAGGACAAAAACTTGCTTGCCTACAGCAGAATCTTTCATCATCACATGGCTCAGACACATGCCTTCACAGATGGCAGCTGTAGGTGAAGCAACAAAACCAACCACAGGACCTGCTGTAATGGTGAACTCTTTGATTTTTCTATTTAAAGCTATTTCATACTTACTGAAAAGCTATACAGTTTAAAGTTACAGAGCAAATATACCCTTTCCCCATTAGTGAGAATATTAGACCCAGAAATGCTTTTGGTAGCTACCATCAGCCTTATCCCAGAGCACGTTCTCGGAGATATTCTCAGAGACAGAAACTCTCTGGCTTGAGGGAGGGGCAGAAGACAGATGAATCCTGGAGCTTGCTCACTCCCCTGGGATGGTACTCTCCCCAGGTGCTAAGCAGAAGACATCAGCCCATATTTATGCTGAGCTGTAAGAAAGAGAGTATTTCTGTAAGGAATATAGAGGTGTTGCCACACCAGGGACCTAGGAGCTGAAAAGAAGGGGAAAGTATATTCCCTCTATGAAAATGGAAGAATGGAAGTAAAATATTATCTCCAGATATTGCAGGGTGAGGAACAAAAAGAAGAAAAAAAAAAAGGCACTGAGTTAGCAGAGAAAGTACAGATGGATGAAGATGTACACTGGACTTTGGAGGGTAGATGTTTATTTTCCACAGTTGGATGTAGATGGGACTGTAATTTTGTTGGTTTGTTTTGGTTTTTTTAATCTTAAATTTGCTTAATAAGTATATTATTCCAGCTTAGTTTTGTTTCTTTTTCCTGATAGATTTTCTAGCTGTGTGTTCATTGGACTGCTCCAGAAAGGAGCAACAAAAGATGTAGTGCAGTTGATTTATGTTCTGTAACTGGAAAATCTCTGTTCCAGCCTTGCTCTTTGTCACTTTTGTCAAATAATTTGCAACTTAAATTAGAGAACTAGGTGCTGTTTGGGTTTCAACTCTGGAAACATGTGAGGGTATTACATAAGTTTTCAATTGCATCATGTATTGAGGAAGAACTTGAGGTATCTAGTATTGCTCCTATCTGGCAATTTTAAAATTTAATAGGTGAATAAAAATTCAAAATAACAATTTCAAAAGCAGCAATGTATCAGACTTGGACAGAACACATTTTTTCTCCTTTCTCTTTTCACCTTCAAAACACTGGTGAGTTTGGAGTAAATTAGGCTTTTTCTAGCAGTTATCTGTATAAATCCAAAATCTCCTATCAGTATGATGACTAAGCAGATCTGAATTTCAACTCAAAACTGCATTGCAGACTCCTGTGCATAGCTGTTTAAGAGATTTTAGCTTAGTCTGTCACTTTGCAATCTCAGAGTTGACTCCAGAGTAGTCTGGGTCAAGTGATGATTATATTCAGTGTTTCCAAATAAAATCCATGGGATTGTACTGTTGGTTTAATACAAGGCAATGATTTGACTGCAGTATCTGTACTGCTTGTAATATGGAACATAAATAAGCCTGAAGTACTGTATTCTCAGCCTGAAGAAAAAGTGATACCCTTTGTTAAACCCACTGACATCAAAGAGAAAGGGAAAAACAAAACATGCATTTTAGGCTTACAAATCCTTTTCAAGTTAGCATTTCCAGAAGAACTATTTTAAGAGAGAACAGGAATTACCAAGAAATGGTAGAATTTAATATAGAAAATTTCATCATCCTACTTTAGGATATGCCTTTGCTGCAAGAATTAATACTCAGGTATGTGAGTCACTCTGCAAAGGCATACCTAAGATTATGCCTTTACTGATCCTTCATGACCTTAGATGTATTGCTGATGTCGTCATGTCAAAAGCATACGTTGTTCCAATTCTTTCACAATAAACTGTGGAGAAACCTGCCTGTCTTTTTGGGAGCTGGAGGAAAGTTATGAAATGGACAATTGATAATTAGTCCTCTTGTAAAGTGAAGGAAGATCACACACAATCAGAAAGATTTTTCTTTTTTTTTCCAAAAAGTAACATTAGGGGAAAAAAAGCAAAAAACCAAACTTGTGAAGAATTTGAGGAGTAAAACAGAATGTCGAAGATAAAGCAAACAAACCACGGAAACAATTAGAGGTATCAAATCTTTAGTCAACTACACATTGAGTACATAAAATCTACCCAGTTAAAGATTCTTCATAATGGCCTCTCTGACTGTGTGTCTAACTATGAGGAAGAGGAGTGCCTGAGGAACAGGTTTTTCTGGAGAAGGAGGGATCTGGTAGTCCTTGTAATACATGAAAAACAATTTGGCATTGACAGAGGAGCAGTTTTTAATGCTCTTTCAGGGGAGCAGACACTGACTTGTGTTGTAAAGTACACAGGGGAGAGTATTCTGTTTTTAACAAAACCAGAGGAAATGCCATTCAAATAAGCAATGATTGTTGTACTCCTCTGTGTTGTCCTCTTCCTAATGCATTACAAGCAGCAGTTCATTTCAGGAGTTTGAACTTATTGTGGCTATTTCCAAGAATTAAATTAAATCTCTACATTTTGTAGAGGTTTTTTGCATCAGTATGTGTTATAAACAAACTGCTGTAAGTGGGCAGCAAAACAACCAACCAGAGGAATGAAGGCAATTTACAAAGTGGCCTTGAAGGACTAAAGCTTCAACCCTGAGAGTATATACAGCACTAATAAAGCCCTTCACACAGAGAAAAGATGCAAACATCAGTGATGCTCAAGGGAAGAAAGGTAAGAAGTAAGCTTTTAAAAGAGTCTGTAGCATTTATGATTGCAAAGCAAAGCCTGAAAATATGACTTGACTACTTCTTAGGGGTTCAGGAGACATGGAAAATTTAAACAACTTACAGTTCCAATGGCATGAGTCTTAGAGCTTCGCTAATGGCTCTGAACACCTGAGGTTGCTGATACTGCAGACGTATTTATTTTGCTCTTGGTTATTCAATTCTTCTCATTTTCTCCCCCACATCCACCCCCTATAAGCAGATTAACTCTCTTAGAAAGTTTGTTGCTTATGGATTAGGCATTTAGGATTCAGTGGAAAACATAACCTAAAAAAAAAAAAAAAAAGAAAGTTTAGAATCACTTCTAATTCCCCTCTGCTCAGTTTTTGGTTTTTTTTAAAGTATTTCCTAACTAAGGACCTCTTATACCATGTCTTAACTACAATACAGTTAGCTAGATTTCTCAGACTTCTCAGGATGATATCTTCATCTGGGTTTATGTAAAGAGTACACAATAGACACCAATTTTGCAGAATACAAACACGGTAAATGATGCTAAATTTTTTAATGCATATTGAATAACTTTGCTTTCTATTTGTCTTCCTTTTACTAGTTGTTAGTTTTATTAACTGAGTATTTCCTACCAAAGTGTTTTAGTTATAACCCATTTTGTGTTCTCCGTGCCACTGAATATCTTAATTTTGTTCTTAAGTCACTGGCAAAGTTCTGTATTGTTGTAACATTTAATCAAAGCATCAGTATCACTGTAATCACTATGTAAAATTGAGGCCCAAACACCTGCTTGGGATATACACCTAATGCCCCTAATGCCTGGAAGGATAACAATGATATAATGATACAAACAAATTCTTCTTACCAGAAAAATAAACTGAGTCCACTAGGACTCCATCACCAAACAAAACTAAAAGCCATGTACACAAATTGTTTGCAGTATGTTCTAAAAATGCATATATGCAAAAATGCATATATCCTCTCCATGCTTGAGAGGATACCAAGAAAAGGTACTTTTCAGACCTGGGGGCCCATCACAAAGGCTGATCTACCTGCTAGATACTCTCAAGGGTTGAAATCTCAGAAGACAAACCTTTTTGCAACAGGTATTTGCTGATACCAGGTCAAGCTTTATCTTCAAATTATGGTATCATTCAGATAAAGAATTGCTTTGGTTGCTTCCAAAGGAATTTTGAGAATTAAGACGTCTTTTCTAAACAGTTTGTTGTATTCTATCTTGCTCGCCTTTATATTAGCAGTGTACAAATAGCATAGGAAGCCTTCTATTTGTGTACATTATTTTCACAAAAAATCCCCAGCCAGAAGCTAAGCAGCTGATGACTAACATCTATGTTACAATTCTGACATGACTCTAGTCATGTCATGATAGACTTCTGAAAAAGACACCAGTGTCATTTTGAAAGCGTTTTCTTTGTATTAAAAATATAGTTTATCTTTAATACTTACTTAGACAGCTAGGATTAAGCTGCTAAGGGAAACAGTGTCTGTCTAGCTGCTGACAGCTGTTTGAATAGCAAAAAGTTTACTACAGTGAAGATACGTAAGCTGGCAGAAGCTTTAAAAGAAATTTAAGCCTCCAGTAAACAATTCTGAGAACATGAACATTGGGGAGATACTGCATCCTTACTGCAAATGATGAAGCAGGAATTAAAGCTGATGCTTCTTCAGTAATTATTTATCAAACGCCCAACATTCACAGTATAATGTTTCAAATGGCCCTCTCACATATGTACCCTTGCATTTTCTGTCTGTGCTGCATCTCAGGTGAGTGTTGAGAATACATAAAGTGAAATCTTTAATTGGAAATTATACAGTTGTGATCCTGATCAGAAACAAAACTTCTGATCAGGCAGCTCAGACCAAAAAGGTTAGAATTGGCAACATCCTGAAATAATGGAATATTCAAATTTCACACATAAAAGATGCTTTGAGTTCCCCTTTCAGTCACATTACTAGGTAGACTTTTGGGGTCATGTGATCTTATTTGAAATGTATTAGAATGCAATCACAGAGAATTGCTTTTAAACAGTAAAGACTTAACACTTGAAACATTTAATGCTACAAATTCACCTCACCTTTGCCCCCAAAATAGTGAATCCCAAACTAAACAACTCTGTGCAAACTCCAACCAGAGCTACAAACTAGCCTGAGCTACAAACTACTTAAACAAGAGAACTGAAGACAAATTTTGGTTTACATCAGGTGTTATGGCAATCAGAACTAATTTACAGTATTCAGAAATAACTCTGTAAAAAATCTTTCTAGACTGTAGAGAAAGGTACAGAAGTTCAGGCTTGCTGATGACATTAGAAACAGTCTTGTAGCCACTTTCATGAAACTGCTTAGTAAAGCAAAATTGGTCTGTTGTTCATTCAGTCCGTCCCTTCCCCAACCCTGCCGTAGTTTCCCCTTTCCTTAGTCTTCCCTTGTTTTCTTGTATTTGCTCTCCAAATGCAGGTTACTGCTCTTTCAGAGGTTATCATTAGGGCAATTAGGTCACTGATTTCATTTTTCATAAGCTAGTGAGCTAACAGTTATTTAGGTTGTGGAACTGCCCTCCTTTCAGGGTTTGGAAAATAATTTGCGCTCCTTTGTTCTTCGCTGCAAGTTGGCACAGTTGCTTTTTTATTGCTCTATCTTGCTTGTGCCTCTGCTTCTGTGTGTTGCATCCGCCTCCTCACAACTATATTTTTGTCTCTTAACTTAGTGCACTTGCTATGCTTTACTTTAAAAATCTTTATAAACTTCTGGGTGTAGAGCCTGATGGTGCTATCCCTATCTCCTCCTGCTTTATTTCAGATTTTAGTGCTGCATTCATCCATCATTTCAGTAGATAGCCCCACAGCTTCCAGTGGCTGCAGTGGGATTTCAAAGTGTGGATCTAAACCATCAGACAACTCTTTTTGCTTATAGACAGTGAAAACTGTAATGAATGCAAAGACCACCAGGATGTTTAGCAAAAGGTAGTTGTTTTATAAATATGAATGTATTTGCAGCCATCAGTATTTGGGTACTCCTAGTTGAGTTAAGCATTTGTCTAGGCCTAAGAGAAAAAAATTCTGTGAGTATTTTAAGGACTGGGTGCAAAAAGTTTCTGCCAGGTTTGCATTTGACTACAGATATAAATACTTGCCCTAACACAGTTCTTCACACCATGTTTGTGGGTTTGTGGAAGTGACATGAAAAATAAGGTGCATGCTGCTCTGCCTGGATGAGTGTGGTGCTAACTTGGCTGCTCCACTCGTGCTAATATGCTGGCTTCTTGCACCACCAGTCCAAAGCTGTATGGATTGAATGCATGAAGATAAAATGGATAAAACTCTCTTATGGATAACTCGTCAAGTCTAATAGCGTTATTGTCACTTGAAGATGGGGTCAGGGAAACAAATAAGTGTTCTAGTGCTTATGGCCTACCATTGATAATTCTTTCAGTCTCTGTTGAAGCTTTGTTTCCAGACCTGTTGATACTCATTTAGAAAAAACTCTCATTCCCGGGGGAAAAATAATTGAACATTTTTTCAGTTATTCTAAGAATGGGAACAGGCAACATAACTGAAGCTTTCTTTTCTCTTCCTCCTTTATGCTCCTCCCAGCAGTTTTTCAAGAAGTCCTTCATATCATCTTCTTTCCAATCTGCTGCCTCTTCTCACCTCTCCTTTATTATGCTGCCCCCTCTTCTGCCTTGGGTCTACCTTTATGTGGTTCAGTCCTCCCTCAAAGCCTCATTCCTGCTGTTGCAATTACACTGCTTTTCCCTTTTGAAGTTGAGGTGCTATTGACCAAAAATTAGAACAAAGCATTCTAGCATTAGTAACAATTTTGAATAATATTAAGGCTATGCTGACTGGTGTAAAATCAGAGAACAGTTTTCAGTAGAAGCATTGGTAGGTTTATTCCAGCAGTACCAGAATGAAAGGTGCTTCCCAGACTAGTATACTGTTGGGCTGCCAAGTCCCAAGCAGGAGTAGAGGCAAACTCAAGTACAAAGTACAAATTGTGACTTCATCTTGCTGGGATATTTGCATAACATTTGCTCTTCTTTTACATCTAGCACACAGGATATATACAGCTTTGCAAAAAGTTTTCAAAGGGGATTATTTCTTTTGAAAACCTTAACTGCTATGTCTAAACATACAAGGTAAAGAAATATGGTGCCAAGAGACAGTTTCTTTTGCTAGACAATTACCTTGGTTCAACTACTATCATTTACATATATTGATAAAAAGAATGAGATTTTTACCTCCTGTTTACTCCTTACATTTTATGTACTGGGTAATTTATCTTATCAGTTCATGGTACTGTCCCTTGCCCAGAGGATGTATTTATTGACCAGTAGATGCTTTAAGTATTTTGATTCTATTTTCTATCTAGCTAAGTACGTGTTGAAGTTTTTGCATAATTACACTACTGATGGTTTACTGACCACTCTGATATCTTATGTGTACCTTCAGGGTTTCCTCTACCACAGATCTGAGCACAGGGCATTATCTGCTTGAACTGAAGTGTGACGAAAGCCATGAACACAGAGCCACAGCTGTGTTCAAATATGACTGTCTTCCAAATAAGCACCTTCAAAATGTTAGGGGACCAAAGCAATACAATGGATTTGGTATTTTTACAGTTCCCATTGCTTAATGGTTTTGAACAGTTTTTAATTTATCAAGATGGTGAAAAACCATGTGCAAGACCACTGCTTGGTTCTGTTACTGTCAAGCCTATTGTTTAGAGTTGTGTGTGTTGTGAGATTTGGATTTTCTCTGAGGGATCACCCTGGAGGAAGGAGTAATGCTAACATAAAACATTCCAAAATATAGACTCAGAAGTACAAAGCATATTAGATACTTAGAAAAGTACTTTTTATTATTTAGAATAGGAAATAAACAACTATGAATATTGAGGGTCTGCTCTTTTTGATTCACATGACTAACAGCTGAACTAAGAAGTGGGTAACCCTGAAGTTCTAAGTATTTAACAATCCCTGAGAAAATTACAGAACTTTGACAAAACCCACCAGCCTTAAGACCTGCTTAATGTGCTTCACATTTCTGCAAGGAAACAGATCTTTTTCTTTTACTCAGGGACAAAAAACACTGCAATTGAAGAAGGTTGGGTTTCTTCACATTATAATAGTAGTGTTGCTTTTCCTCCATCTTTCCTGATAACCACTACTATTTCTTTGCTGTGCATGTTGTATTATTGGCAATGCAGAAAAAATATTCCATCTTGTTTCTACTTTCCTAATACACCTAAGGCTAACTTTATAATTTTAAAGTCTAGTTTAAAAGCAGCCAAAAAACCGAAACCCCACAGAACTATGTTTAAAGAAAGAGCAACAAGTTTCAAACAGGAATCTTTCCATGTATTCAAATACTGAGCTGTGAGGGCACGTTGCCTAGGGAGCAGGGCTCACTGGGCTGGGGCAGGCACGGCTCTGGTTCTGAGGAGATGTGGTTTTATATGCCACTACTTAACAGCACTGTAGGTGACAGACTTACAGAAGTCTCTTTCAGAGAGTCACAGGACCAATTAGGTTGGAAAAGACCTCAGAGATCATGGAGTCCAACCTATGACCGAACACCATCATGTCAATTAGACCATGGCACTAAGTGCCACTTCCAGTCTTTCCTTGAATACCTCCAGGGACAGTGACTCCACCACCTCCCTGGGCAGCCCATTCCAATGTCTAAGCACACTTTCTGTGAAGAAATTCTTCCTATGTCCAACCTAAAACTCCCACGGCGCTTAAGAAATATGTCCTCTTGTCCTATCACTAGTTGCCTGGGGGAAGAGGCTGACCCACACCTGGATACAACCTCCTTTTAAGTAGTTTTAGGGAGGGATAAGGTCTCCCCTGAGCCTCCTTTTCTCCAGGCTAAACAACCCCAGCCTCCTCGGCCGCTCCTCATGGGACATGTGCTCCAGGTAGGACATGTGCTCTTTCTTAACATCTCCAGCAGGGAACGACGCGCAATGCTGTATACGTCACTGATGGATGAGAGGCATGCTGCTTGGTCAGAAATTTAAGAAAATATTTCCATTAGCGCCCGCAGAACAGCTGCCTGGTACCGAAGAGCACTGAGACAGGTCACACCAAGGGAGATAGGGGAAAAAAAAAACAACCCAACATACAGCAGAGCGCCTTCGACGATAGCGTTTCGAGCTCTGTGCCCCGCCGCCGGACCCCGGCGTCGGCCGGCGGTGTCGGTGGGTTCCCTCGGCCCGGCCGGGAGCGAAGCCCGGCCCCGGCAGGGGCGGCCCCGCAAGGCGGGCGGGGCGCGGCGGCGGCGGCGCACGTAGCCGTCCCAAGATGGCGGCCGCTCCGGACCGGGCTGCGAGGGTGGCGGCCGTGCCGGGGGCGGTGGCGGGCGGGCGCTGAGCGGGGCGGCGGCGGGGGCTGGCGGCGCTCGCCTCGCCTCGCCTCCCCGCGGGGTGCGGGGTAGCTTTCCGCGCGGCCGCCAGGCTTCACCATGCTGCGGGGCTAGAGCCGCCGAGGCGCCGCCGCAGCGCAGCGGGATAATAATGTTAACAGAGGTAAGAGCACTGCCGGCAGGGTGCGGGAGCGCGGGGAGCGGCGCTGCGCCCACCCGGGCGGGCAGCGCTCAGTGCCGCGGCTCTGCCGCCCGCCGGGGCCTCCGAGCTGCCTGGGCGGCGGGCAGCCTCCCCCTTGGCCGCGGAGGGCAGAGGCGCTGGCCGGCTCGCCCAGGGCAGCGCCGGGACCCTCTTATCACCCTGCCTCCTCTCCAGGCAGGGCGAGATGGGAGTGGGGCTCTCCAGCGCCGCGGCGGAGCGCGGCGCACCGTGCCCGCTCTGTGCGGCAGCTGGGCCGGGCCCGGCCCGTCCTCCCCGCGATCCCCCGCGGCGGGGCCGTGGCTGGAGGAGCGGAGCGCACCTGGGGGGGAACCCGCCTGGGCTCCGGGCCGCGCCGGGAGGTGCCCCCGCCCGGGCCCCGCGCGACCGCTCCGGCTTCAGCCCCTCTGGCCTCCTCCGGGGAGGCTTCGTGAAGGCTCCGTGTTTGCTTTCTCCTTGGAGGGCTTAAGCCGGGCGGCTCAGCTGTGCTCGCGGAATCCGTGGCAGTAGGTAATCATTAGAACTTGGCTCGCCGCTCCCCGGTGGGGGGGTTTCCGTCCCGAAGCAGCCGGGCAGCTCAGCTGTGAGGCAAGCAGGTATTTGAGGATCAGCGTGGGCCAGAAATGTCTGCTGTGTCCAAAGGCACTCTAAAAGGGGGAACCTGGCAGTACTATCTGCCACTGCTTTCTAGTTGCTAGGAATGAGCCTTTACCCCGTTTTCTATTTTCCTCTACCAAGACCACTCGATTTTCTGTTTTTATTGTGTCAGCAAGGTGTCTGGAGTGCAAATACTTCTCCAACATGATGATTGCATTACCCGTGTTTTATAATTTGCCATTTTATCCTCCAGTGAAGGTTATTCATCCAAAAATGATTTGTCTTAAGTCTTTCAGGGTGAAGGCTTGCTTTCTGACACCTGAAAAATTTAGCTTTGCTTTCCTGAACGACAGTAAAAAGTATCCTCTACCTTTCAATTTGCATCAGTTAAAAGTTTTAGGGCATTAAGAAAGTGGTTCTGTAGAGCCACGAGCTCTCAGATTTCCCCAGGAGGGTAAAATTTGTGGAGTGAGTTAAACCTGTAAAAATACATGACCTATTTTTGCATTGAGGGTATTTGGTGGGTGGTCAAGATTAATAATGTCCATTAAAAAGAGTTGGTGAGTGTGACGCGTAAGCATTAGCCATAGTAATTTAGATTATTTTAAGGGTGGCATAGAACATTCTGGGTCAGTGCCTCATACTGGACTGTTTGTTCCTTTTGATGATGGCTCTGTGTGCCTATCCAAGACACTTTATTGTCTGGGAACTGAATTTTTTTTTCTAATAATGCTGATATAGTGTGGATAGCAGTGTGGATGACACTTGATCCATTGGCTTTTTGAGGTAAAACCTAGTAATTACATGTGTGATGACAAGTTATAACACTTAGCCTTGGTGTCAGGAGGATTCTGATGTCTTTCTAGTTCCTGTATATAAATTATTTGTAGACAAAATGCTTCAGGGTAAAGTATTCCAGGCTTGTCTCTGCCAAGGACATGATTTTAAATTTTAAGCAAAATTGCAGGCTTTGCTTGCTTGAAAAGCAGTTGTAGGGAGTTCTTCAGGTAATCAGGTAGCTCTTGCCTGTCAGGAGTACCTGCCTGATGTGAACTGGAGGAGTCCTTTTCCAGCACACTTTTTTGGGTGTTCCAGTGGCAACTTGGTAGCTAAAACATGAACCGTGACCAGACTTTGGACAAAGATGCAGATTGTTTCAAGTCTAGTGATACATGTATTTCTCCTCTTCTCCTTTTTTTTTTTTTTTTTTTTTTTAATATGTGAAAATTGAAATGGAATGTGTGGTGGACTGCAAACAGTGCACTTGTTTTTGGTGCTGGATTTTTGTGGCCTTGTCTAGTTTACTACTGTCTAGAATGACCAAGATCACTCTACTTTTTTTTTTTTTTTTAGCCATTAAAAATTCATATCCATAAGTTTTATAACTTAAGAATGTAGACAGTATTTTTTCTTGAATACATTTAAGCACGAAGGAAAGGCACAATCAGTTTCTACATGTATTGTTATCATGAAGTTAAAATATAACTTAGAGTTTGTCAAGGTCAGTTTCCTACATCCTTTAACTGTATCCATGTGTGCAGACCCTAGCAGATTCATTTCAGTTTTGTGTGGATGCAGTTAGAGTTAGGACTTTGTAATCAGTAATTTCAGGGGAAGATCGCACTTCCTGGCAGGAAAAAAAATACTGTGTTTTTTATTTGGCCCTTACTGCCCATCTTATTTTAGTTGCATTCAGAAATCATGTCATTGGATGCCAAGCTCATACACTTATTTGCCTACTTAGCAAATGCCATTTCTCAATTTTTCATTATTTTGGCCACCAAAACTTATTTCTGCAATCATGTTGAATACATTCTATATCTGCATGCATTCCAAGTCCTGCTGCAAGTGAGCGTTTCCCTAGTCTGCTGCATTGGCCTTTCTGTGTCTTTTCACTTGTTCCCCTTTTCTTGTTCATCAGATGTCTCCTCTGCTTTTCAAGACCCAGTGTGGCCTGTTTCCATGTGATTTACTGTCTCAGCACTTTCTCGTCTGACGAGGCCATGATGGACACAAGTTGCAATGGTCTGTCTCTTGTGTTTTCGGACAATCATCTTTGTCCTGCTGGCCTCTTGTACTGCCCTGACTACAGTGATGCAGCTGGTGTTTTACAACTTTGGCTCTTGGTGGTCAATAGTGTCTTAAATTCTGATGGGAACAAACATTCAAAAGGATTTTGACTTAATTTACAAGAAGTTTTAGAATGTCTCTCAAAGCGATGGCCGATGCTGTCTGCATTTGCAGCCCATGCTACCTCTGAAGAAGGCACTTTATGTAAAGTGAGGAGTAGATTTCTTCTTTTTTTTTTTCCTACATTTACTCATTAAACTGCTTTGAGATGCTTAGTGAGGACTTTCTTCAGAATTTATCAACAGCTAAATTTTTGACAACTTAATTCTCAGCTTAGCAAGGGTACCTTGTTGCAGTACCAGTGATGGTTGGAAAGATTTTTGAAATTTGATGAAGTAGGAAAACTTTTTTGTATCCACAACTAAAAGTGAGCCATGCAAAATGAGCTCTGACGTGTTAGTATTTTTTGTTATTGCCATCTGTCAAGATAATTCACTAACTACATGCAGTATTTCCTTTCCATTAAACAATCTACATTTTAAGAGCTCTTTAACAAACCTTTTTTTGTTAGACTGTGATACTAGCCATTGAGAACTGCTTTTGAGCAAAACTGAGTAAATTAGCCTGATTTTTAAGAATAAAGGTTGACTGAGCAGCTTGTTTTAACTTGCTTTAGAATAATAGTGAATTAGCCTTCCTGCAACAGTAGCACATTGTAATGTATGTTAGTCCAGCTCTGAAAGACACAGAACACAGTTAACTGCATGATGTACTGTAGCATTTTTGTCTTTTTCTTTTCCTTGATACATGGCAGTGGCAAATTGCTTGGATGCTTCATGTATCTGAACTATATTCTGCTGGTAGACAGCTTCAAATGTGTAGAGATTTATCGGTGCGTTGAAAGAAATTAGTTTTCTGTCCTTCTGTGAAACTTGTATGCTGGGGCTTTCTTTAGTGATAGTATTTTACTAGATGAGATCTAGTGGGAGCATGAGTTGCAAGCCTTTGGGAGTAAAAATCCTCTTTCTCCTTCAGTATATTTTGTAATTGAGGTCTGCATTGTCCCTAATTGTTGCTATGGCAGCTCTTTTAATATCTCCATATTTTGTAAAGTGTGAGTTAAAATTATGTGAGGAATGGTAAAATTAAGAAAACTAATCTTCTGAAAAGAATGGTTGTTGTATGTTCCAAGTACTTGCTTTTAAATATTTTGCTGACTACTAGTAAAAGATAGTGTTTAAACACTCAGGACTATTCTTAGAGTGTACAGTTGGGCCTAAACTGCTGAGACTGAATGCAGAGTTCTGCAACAACTCTAAAATATCAGTCTGGACCATTCCCCAAAGCTGTGTGGAAGAAGAATAGTGTGAAGTTCCTTACTTCAATAAAAATACTAATAGCTTGTCTGGTTAGAGAGCTGAAGGAGCTCCATGATGATTTCCTTGGTCTGGTTGCACTCTAGGGAATTATCTCTGTTTTAAATATGTTTGTCCTTTTATCCCCACCCTTACAAAGATGACAAAGCATGTTTTCCTTTGAACTAGCATTGAGAGAATTGCTATTATTAGAAACAAGAAACCATTGGGGTTATATCTAAGTTATTTGCACCACTTAAAGAATTAATATTTAGAAGTCCCATTAGCACTTTCCCCCGTTGCTTGGCTGCGAATACCAAGGCTGAAATGATAGAAAAATCAATTGCAATTGTTACTTGCAGTTACATGAGAAAGAAGCTTCAAGAAGCAAAAGTCACTGTGATCTTGGGCCCAACTGCTTGTTCTTCTCCCCCTGCCAAAGTAATGTCTGATTTCTGAATTAAAAACCTGAGGCATTATTTCATGAAGTAAACATATTGACAAGCTTTAGCAAGAGCACTCTAACCTTGTTTACATAATTTCTATAGTATCATACCTTAAAATGATAAATGCATAATTGTGATTTACAGGTATGAGGTGAAATGGGTGTTTATTTTTAACGTGAGTAAGCATAGTTGACAGTTATGTTCAG